ATTTGCTCATTTCTAGAAAAATTAATTTTGGTTACTTCAAGTTTCATTAGCTTTTTTGCAAGCCTGCATGAATGAAAGCCCAGGCTCAAAGGAAAATTTGCATTCTCTATTGTTTTGCTGATACTAATTTACTCCAATGGAAAGCCTGTAAATGATGTAATCTTGACAAGCTACAAAGAAGGGCTACAGGGATAATTACCCACCATATTTCACAAACATTTTTTCTCAGACTCGGAAAATACACAGAAATTGGTAGGTCCCTTAGTTGGAGCAGAAGCAAGGACTTCTCTTGAGGTGCAAAGAATGGAGTCTATAAATTACAGTATCACATTTTATTTGTGGCAAATTATTTGTTCTTTCCCAGAGCACTGGGAAGACCTGCATTCTTCTTTCCTGGTGCAATACAATCAGGTCCAAAACTCATTAGGAAAGTGTTATAATGTTTTATATATGTATTTATATATGTATATATATAAGTATGTATATTTAATTTATGTAGAGGTTGTTATTGGCAGTCTGGGGGAAAGATAGAAAGAATTTATTTGTAAAGGTGAATGAACCTTTCATATTCCTTAGCAGGTAACACAAAGGAGTATATCTCCTCTTTTACCACTACGTCTCACTTGTGACAAAAAAATGACCTTACATTCAGATGTGCTAATCAGAACATTTTCCCCCATGCTCCTTTATGCACAGTTATAGCAAAGGTAGAACTCGCTACTTCGCACTTGCAAAAAAAAAAAAAAAAAGTAAATTTGTAACTATTATATTAAAAAAGAAAACTGTCAAGCAAATGACAAGGGATTCTCAGTGCAGTTCTGGAATTAGAAGAGAATCGAAAATGAAACTACAGTTCCAAGGGAGCCTTTTAGGATTCAGTGTTGTTGTACAGATAATAAGAAAGTTTTTAATTATAAATCATATTTGCCATTGCAAGCAGTCCCACCGAAGGAAAGAGGAAAAAATGCATAGACAGCTCAAGCCAAAACAGAGCCCTCTGTGTACCTGTTTTGCACATTTTGATTCAGATTAAAAAGCAGATCTTATTCACATTAAGATATGGGAATGGAGATAATGCAGGCAGCATGCCTTTTGGGATTTTCAACAACTTTCCAGGCACATTGAAACTAGCATCAGCTTCTGTAAAACACTGGGTACTTTGTGAAGATATATTTTGTTGGAAAAGTAACATCTAGAGAGCCAGCTGCTACCAAACAAGTATGTATTATTAACAAAGGACAAAGAAAGCCTTCTGCTCACTGGAGTAAAATACATATACAGTTTAATCTGAGCTCCAAATTTAATTAACTCCAAGATAAAAAAAATCAAGCTGTTGTTTTTTCACAAGCAATTATGCCTAAATATGATATTGTAGGTGCGAATGAATTTTTCATATAATCATTTGTGCACGCAGATAAGGCATTTATGTAAGCAAAGTCTAATTGTCTGCACAAATCTTGTCAGCCTGGTGGGCTTTCACCTCGTGCAAGCAACATCCAACACAAAATTTAGATCATAGCTCTTCTGGAAACATGCTCATGAAGTTCTCTGGACAGAGCTCTCGCAGTTAAGAGTTGAGAGGAGTGTTTCTAGCACAGATAATGTACAGTTGACGTGACACATGACTGGTGATGACAAACACGTGTACATGGCCGGTGTCACATCGGCTCAGAGCACTCTCACCAGCAGGGAAGCACCAATGGCCTTCCCCTGCTCTCCCTCTGGGGACACTTTGGAGGCCCTGTGAGGTGCCTCGGTGTGGGTTCCCACCCACCTGTGTGCCCCTGTGCTCCTCTGGCTTGCAGATGGACTTTTGATGGGCTGATGAGCCCTGGGATGGGGCTGGAAGCACCTTGCAGAGTATGAATTGGGTTCCCCCTCCTTCCATTGTGACTCAGCTCATGCAGGTGAGATTTACTCATAACCTGACAAATCCATACTGAGGCTAAATACATGAGAGCACTTTGCTCTACACCTGAGCAGCGAGGCCAGCCCACTGATTTGACTTAGTTCTGTCTGCTGACCTGTGAGCAGAAGCCGGTATTTATTTCTGGCAAATTCAGGGAATATTTTTCTTGTTCAATAACATATTTTTCTTGTTCAAACACATATGTTTTCCATCTAGTTTTCTGCTCTTACGGTCCGGAAACAAGATCACACACATGGTGTGAAACTGGAACTATTCATTTTTTCTAGAAATAGTCTAATTGCTAAAATTGAAATAATTTCTTGACAGGTGACTCATTAAATACATAAAGAAGTAAAAATATGTTCATTAATTTAATTCCACTGCTTATTTAGAACTTAAGGGGAAAAATTTGTGACTCCTGACAGTAGTCTTTTCTTCTGGGAGTGGTCATTTTGAAGATAAAAAATTGTGAATTAAGAAAGCTATTTCTGTGTGAGAAGATTAGTAGCACTGCTGATAGTACAACAGCCTCTGTGTGCAATCCAGTATTGAGATCTACAGAATTTCTCATCGGGGCCGTTAGAACTGACAGGTGTTTAAAGTGCTACCAGGCAGGTTTTCTGTAGAGCTGTTGCTGTGCATTGTTTCATGGCACATAATAGAAACCCCCCTGTTTTGGCTGTGCTGCACAGCTGGTCACCTGCCTGGCATCTGCTCCAGTTGGGTGGTGGGATTTTCCAAGTGCTGCTGTCACCAAGCACAGCTCTGGGGCTCTGTCCAGGAGCTGCCTCCAGTGCTCGTTCATTTGGGGGAGGGAGGGTGGGATGGTTTCATTCTTCCCATTTCTATGGAAAATGGTATCAATATTGTTGAGGAACATCCAGAGGATTTAGGCATCCAGTGGCCATCGCTACCTTGTGCCTCAGCAAAGTCAGTTTTACTCCATTCAGGAAGAGGAGGACAGACCCAAAAGTCCATGTCCCACATCCCAGGTTAGGGCAACAACAACTTTCTCTTTACTATACAGGACCAAATTTATGAAACACTTTTCTTCTGGTAAACCTATTATAGTAAATTCTTAAGTTTTCTTTTTTTTTTTCCACATTTCATTACACTTCCACTTCCACTTCCATCCTGTGGATGGAACCACCTTTTATTCTTGAATTTTTATCATAGTTAAAAAAAATCCTATTTACCCTTAAGGATAATTACAATTACCCTTATGTATGGGTACTTTTTATTTGTGGAAAATTGATTTTGCAATGATTTGACATAGGAATCTGACCTTCTATTTCTAGAGAATTTTAAAATTGTTGTGATTTAAAACAGCAAATTCACCTTATACTCTTCTGATTTGACTAGCTGAACAAATGGAAATCCAAGATGGTCCCACCTGATAGCTGCAACTCCAGCTGAACGTTTGGGAAGGGGCAATATTATGAAAAATGTCTGCAGGTTGTTTGCATTATTTTATTTTTTTTTGGCCAATATTAGTATAATGCCTGTTTTGAAATACTTGTAATCTTGGAGTTATGTGAAGAACCAAAAATTAGGTTACTCTGGAAAATCCAAAGGATAGGAAGGCTGGAGGAACTCATTAGAGTAACAAAGAAAATTGGCAGAGAAGGGAAATCAAGAGAACAAACCCTTGGAGGACAAAACCTTAGTTTTCTTCATGTGGAGTGGGAATTTGTGATAGAGACTCAGATATAAGGAAAGTATTCCTGTGGGAAAGGGCAATTTAATGATTGCACCAAGAAAGATGAATCTATGTAGTGAATGACATCAGAAACAGGAAAGAACTCAGAGAAGAATTTGGAATAGAAACCTGAGAGATAGCTACATTTATCAAAGAAAAGAAGTGAAAATTACCAGTGCTGGAAGACACAGGCAATTATAGAGGCAGTGAAATCCAGCAGGAAAGGAAGCTCAGGAAGCAGTGGTGTTAATGAAATCTGATAGATCAAGAAGAATATGAAAAATATTTCGCTGCAGGTGAAGGAAGATTTTGGTCCAAGTGGTCCAGTTTAGTGTGAAGAAGTCAAAATGGATCAAAGGTGGAGTTGGAAAGAGTGAAAATTAGGGAACTAAGAAAGCAAAGGCTGGACAGGGCAGCCTGGAGAGCAGCAATAAAGAAAAGCAGAGCTCGGAGAAGTCTTTTCAAAGACAGTCCAGGAAATACAGGACACAGAAGAAAATTACCCTAAACATGGATTATTAGAAAAGATAGAAAGCGAGATGAGAATATGAATTGTTGAAAAAAAGGGATAAATAGATTTAAAAGCAGAAGGCTATTCCTACTATTTTTTCCTGCTCCACAACAAAAAATTTTCCATATAAAAGTTAAGCACTTTTTAGTTTGATTTTCACTTTAAAAAGAAAATGCCATCAGGAGGGTGGGCAAAACAGTAAAACCTTCAATGAAATGTTCTTTCTGGAGTGGAAAAAGAGCAGGTGATAGGTTGGGTATTTCTTACATAGTTGGAATAGAAAGGGGATGATGTCATGTGGAGATCCAGGAGACCTGGGTGAAACCTTTATCATAAAAGTAAATAATTGTCTTGTAAACCGATTTGCAGTTTCTACCATAATTTCAAGAACAACATAGGTAAAAAAAAATAGTTTCCTCCCAGGAAAGTGAGGTAGGCCTTGCAGGCAGGAGGGAAACAGTAGGTGCCCTGTATTTTTATTCCAGTAAATTTCTTAACATTGCTCCAAGTATGGGAGGGAAACATTGTTCACATCAAAGTATTATGAGGGGGTCCATAACTCCTTTGGAAAACAGCATGCTTATTATATAGATACAATTATAATATCTATGTTTTAAACATCCCTGTCAATGCAGCAATATTTAAAATTTATGACATGAAGCAGGCTCTGAAAGTGTTCATTTCTTTCTGTTGACTATAACTTATATAAAGTGATCATTTCTGTTTTCTATTATCTAAAATAGTTAAGATACATCCCCAGCTAGGTGGGAACGGTTCCCTATCAATGTAGATGGATGCTTTGCAGTTTCTGAGAGAAATGCCTTATTTCGGTGGGACTCGATGACGTTATAGGTATTTTCCAACCTTAGCGCTTGCGTGTTATGATTTCGGGAGCAGTCGGTACGTTCACTGGTGAGCTGGGTGTTGGAATACACACCACAGCTATTGGCCAGCAGTGGCGGCAGAGCGGCCCCGCCGCCATCACTCGCGTCCCCTCACGGCGGGGCCAAGGGGCGGGGCCTGACGGGGCGGGGCCTGGACGACCCGAGGGGCGTGGCCAAGGGCTGTCGCCTTCCCTCCCCCCCAATGGGCGGGGCCGGGTATCCCCGCTGCCCGCCTCTGTCGTTCGGGGCGAGTCCATTGCATCCCGCGCGGGGGGAGATCCGGACCCGGATGCTGTCTGCAGGTCCGGTTCGGGGAAAGAGGGAGGAGCAGGGATAGCGCCTGTGCATCAGAAGCGGGCGCGGCCCTGCAGCAGCTGTGGTGGCT